TGCAACTGCGGCGCTGTTCGGTACCTCCCTCACAATCTAAAGCGTCAATTGAATGAGTCGCTCACAGACCCAGCTATCGAATCGCCGTTCCACAATATGCCGACCGTCCCCCGGCCTTCACCCTCGGTCCCTCCCCGGATCTCGCCAATCCCCGTACCCCTCGGCTCCCTTTCGTCCTCGCATGTCACTGCAATGATTGCCGCGTCGCCTGTGGGAACTCCTCCTTTGAGGCTATCCAAACACCTGCACCACAAATGACTGTGTCCGCTCTCCAGGTAGGCAAAGGTTCCGACCTGCCGCGATCGCATACAGGCCGCCTTGTTGAGCGGCCCATGACCGAGGATGAAGTCACCGCGTCGGACGCAGACCGGCCGGCCTATGTGCCTGCCCTCGATGTTCTCCGCCCTGATGTTCCCGGGGCCGAGGGCACTACTCTCGGCTTTTTCCACGCCTTCATCTGCGACAAAGAGGCTGCCTCTCGCAGCTTCTGTATCCGCTGTGGCGGCCCCATCGCCTTTCACTGCCGCCCGCAGGCCGAATGGTTCGGCCCCAGTTTTCAGCAGCCCGAGGGCTGGTCCGACATTTTTGACGTTCTTCTTGGAACCGTCGATCGCCACCACCTCGACAAGGAAGACTGGCTCGCTGTCGAACATGACCAGGCTTGGGATGAGGCTCTTTGCTGGAATAAAGCTGTGCTCGTAAAAGGCCGCAGCCCCGGCGCGAGACGTCACCCCTCCGGCGCCCTGTCAGATGAAGTGCCCGATGGAGACCTTCTCAGGCCATGATTTGCGATGGGATATGGGAGCAAGTGGTTAGCCGTGATCTGTACCAGACTGTCATAGGTAGTGGAAATCGCAAATCGCAACGATCGCGCCGCGCCGTGCAAGAGGCCAGCCTTGTGTAGCACCCGCACCCTCCCCGTTGGACATGATCTTGAGTTCTTACTCAACACCCACAGTCATGACCTCTGCTCGTAACACACCCATCCCGCATCCACAGCCAGTCAGCACCCCCTCCTCCCTCGCCAGCAGAGGTGATGCGGCCGTGAGACCGCCTCTGCTGACATGCATACACCCCAACCCACCCCCATCACGCATTCCGCCCCCCTAGCAGCGGTGAGTCTAACAAAACAGCGCCCAGCGTCGAGCGAAACGTCCGCGTAAACCGCCTCGAGAATGTCGAAATGTCGGTATCCCTAACAGACGGTCCAAACCTCGCACACCAGCCCGCCCATGCATCCCCCTTCATAAAGCACCCCCCCTTCCTTCTTGCCCTTGATCCTGCCCTCCAGAAATCCACAGCACAAGCCTCCGTGACACAGCACAAAAGCTCCCCCCTCTCTTCGCCTCCGACCCGTTCACCCTTCCTGGTCTGATCCTCCCGGTCTCGCTCCCGCTGCACCCCTACGCTTGAACCCGCGCGCGACCCAAGTCCCAGAGCCGCAGAGCAGACGACCCCATCGCCGTCCCGGAAAGGCAAGGACCAAAAAAGAAAAGAGTTATACAAGCGCGCGCACGATGCCCTGCAACCCGTCTTCGCGCCGCTACTTTGCGAGTCTCGCCCGGAGGCTCTGCGTCCGGTGTCTCGAGCCGTATAGCCAGCACCACATCTGCTCGAGCCACGAGGAGCACGTCCACCGGACGGCGCTGCACGTCTAGGGTAGGTCGGAGAGCCCCTCGCCTGGTTGGTGGATTCCCAGTCGGCGCGTGACATGATGTGGTGGCCGCCTGCTCACCCTCACCAGATCGTGTGCGGATTGGATATTCCTTGGCGTTCTTTTGAAGCAACACGAGCGAAGCATTGTATTGGACGAGCAAAGGTTGGAGAGACAGAGGAAGGGAAAACAAGAATGAACCCTCGCGGATTGCCGAATCAGGAAGGCTGGCTGGCCCCCCCTCCTTGGTGCGGCGGCTTACGTGCTTCATCATCTCAGTCATCACGGAAATCAGCTTGCATGGCCCAACCACAACCCGAACCCATTACACACACACACACTCCTACCCCCACGAAATGGCTGGTTGGACAGGGTATCGTCTAATCATTTCGGCTGTCAATGTCGCGTTATGCTTTTAGGTACTGTACAACAAAAAATTGCCAATGAGGCCCGGAAAAACAAAAGCCAGGCCATACGCCGGTGCCATGCCGTCCCGTCCCGCCCCTTCCGTGAGACCGCAGTCCAGAAACCGGACCAACCAATCGGCCACAGGACGCTCTTTTTTTGTTCCATTTCCGCAACCGACTATTAGGGAAACCCGCTTTGCAACCCGCCACTCCCACCGAAAGAAGAGTGTGGAATGGTGGGGTACAAAAGCTGAGGAGAAGAGGGAGTGATAGGGAATGTATGTGACGTCGTTAGTCCCGAGACTGCAGTCGACCTCGTTTCGCCTGGCGCCTCCAAAAGGCCGTGTAGAGGCGTCGTCGAGCTACGGGTGCGGAGCTGGGAGATGCGAATCTGTCCACAGCTCGAGACGTCGGACAGTCGCGAAGAACCGAGTGTCTCTACGACTCTTCGTTACGGCGGGCGCCGCCGCGCGTCGACGAGGATCCGCCGCGCTGTCCGCGGCCGCGACCACGGCCCTCACCACGGAATCCACTACGGCCACCACGGAAATCACCACGACCACGTCCGCCACGGAATCCAGAACCACCTTCACGGTTGCCATTGCCACGGTTACGGCCGGGCACCTGGCGGAAGCCATCGTTAGGGTCAGCGGAAACGGCGGGCTATCAACATGTTAGTTCAATGTTTTGCTACCAGTCGAGATGTTCCCTTACCTGAACGGGCTGCTCGGGCTGGTCATCAGCCCAAGACTGGGTGTTGCTGGCGTTGGCAGGAGTAGCCTCCAGGCCAGTCTCGGTCTCGGCAGGGTCGCGAGGGATGTTGACCCACTCCTGGGAGATGGCGGAAGCGCCAAGGTCGTTACCAGTGTCCCACTTGTCGCCAGCAGCATTGGCGGCATCGTTGCTGGCATCGGCGTTGCTGGCAACTGGAGTTTGGGCGTTCTCGGAGGCGGAACCGTTGACAAGAGCAGCGTCGTCACCAGCAGTGATCTCCGTAAGACTGGCATTGGCGACCGTCAGGTCAGTGCCGGGAGCAGGTGCAGCGGCAGGTTGGGCGTCACCCTCAGTCTCGAGTTGCTCGGTCTCGGGAGCCCGTCGAACCTGAGGGGCCTCCTTCATGTACGCACGAGCCCAGGTGCGGAGATCGGCGACTGGAAAGCAGTGTTAGCGGTCATGTCACACGGTTGGCTTGTGAGGGGAAACACTAACAAGTTACATCCAGGAAGGTGCCATCAACGTCAAAGGTGCGCTCGTTGCTGCCACGAACAAGGGCGATCATGCTGCCGGCGGCGTCGTCGTCGCCGACGTACATGTTGCCAAGAACGCCCTCAATGGCGCGACCAGCCTCCTCGGACTGGCCGGCTGGGTCCTCACGACGGGCGGCGGCAAGGCGGAGGAAACCAGAGACCTCCTTCAGGTGTTCGAAGACGGCAGTGTCCACGTCACCCTTAGACGAATTCTTGGCCGCCTCCACAGCAGCGGCAACCTCCTTCTCGATCTGTTCAGTGTAGTAGGTCTTCAGCTCGGCCTTCTCCTTCTCATGGACGGCCTTGTCCTGTTGGGCCTTGGCGCGGTATTCTGAGTCAAGCTTCTTGAACTGAGCAATCTGTTCCTCGTTCTGGGTGAGCTGGGCGAGAAGGGCGGGCTTCTTGCTGATCTGAGCCTTCTGGTCGGCGTTGATAAGCTTGGCGGCAAGGAGCTGTTCAAGCGACTTGCCGGGGTTCTCGGTAATGACGGCCTCGGTTTTGGCCATGTTGGACTGTGGGGGTACGAATCAGCACGGGGCTCAGTGCTTGAAGGTAGGTAGAAACTCACGATCTTCTTGTTAATGTTGCGAATGTTCCTGCAATGCAAAGATTCTCGTCAGCATTGTTCCGGCACCTCGGGAACAGGATACATTAATGTAACTTACTTCTGGAGCTCACGGATGTAGGGGCTCTCCGAGGCATCATCGCCAGCATCGGCAGCCCTCTCGCCGGCAGGCGAGGCAGTGGGCGCGGGCGACTCGGTACGCTCAATAGGGGCGGCGGCAGCCTTGGCCTTCTTCTTCTTCTGAGACTTGGATTCGGCCTGCACGGCAGGGTTCTGAACGTCGGAGGCGGCCATTGTGGAGGACGTAAGGGCTGACGGGGGCGTGGATAGGCTGAGCGAAAGTTTGCAACTGAATGCGGGACGGGAAGGTGCGGTAGAAGACAATAGTAATGAGAAGTGGGGAGAATCAGGTCGAAGCTGAGCTGCAGCAGAAGATCGCCAGCAGTAGACAAGAGAGACGAAATGTGGACTTAGGATTGGGGGTTCTAGGAAGGGATCGCGAGAATTGGAGTTGTGGTTGTGGTGTTGGCCAGGTGGAGGAAGCTGGAGCAAGTCCGGCAGGTGAGCTGGTCAAGGAGACGTGCAGGCGATTTTCGCCCGGTGCTAGCGTGAATGCTAGTGACCCCTGCTTTGGGGGAAGCTCATCCACTGGAGCACCAAACACAGCACCCACAGAGCCTAGCTTGCTGAGGCTGGGCATGGACCCTTTCTTAGTGCCGGTCATCTAGGGCAAGCCGAGCTGGGGTTCTAGCACCAGCGAGAACTAAAGAAGACACCTGGATTTTGGCCTCATCGAGCCAGTGCGCACACCGATTCACCATGGTGAATGCATCATTGCCATTCAAGCATGGCTGTAAAGAAAAAAGACGGTCATTCACTTGGTCTCACACATCTTCAGGAAAGCAGCGTCTTTTGGTTGTGCCTAGAATGTCTCGTGCTCCTGACAGCTTGTACCTTCCCCGCATTGGCACCACCTAGCCGCTCTTTCTAGTTTGCTCTTGCGTCACTCAGCCGCCTGAGCTGATCGGTACTCCCATTTCAACCTCGGGCCCATCCGAACCAGGCCCAAGGTCACGAGCTCTCGCGTCGGAATAAGATCGTGCATCTAATGTGGTTTTGTGAACGTGTTGCATAGTGACATATCTATGCATTAGATCTATGCATTCTTGTCTTCGATTAACCATCCCAGAGGCATCCTTTGGATGGCTGCAGGCTACCTCTGAAAGGCAACATCCCTCACGTGGCTTCCCTGACAACCCAGCACGAAGAGTCCTTGACTCAGGCTCGATGGATAGATAGACTCGAGACGCGGGTATCTGACCGTCGACTCCCAGCGCGATACTTTCACGTAGAAGGGAGCATTGGCCAAGCCGGTTCCCACGAACTACGATCGCAGTACCACCACAAGATTCTTTCCGCAGCAATCAGTCCACTACAGAAACGCCTTTCGGGCCATCTGTGAGACCTGTTGGGCGCTCTGTGAGCAGAGATCCTCTATATCGTGGGTTCTGCGATGGCACGCCCGGCGCTTGGTCCATGGATATTTTTCTTCATTCCGTCATCAGTGTCGTAAACTCGTAGTGGCAGCGTGTCGGCTCGTTATGATCGTTAGGTTAGGGGCCATATCGATAATTGGCAGAAGCAATGCGGCTTCTCTCAGCTCTTGAACTTGGCTAGCGCATCCTGCTGTTAAGTTAGACTTGGCTCACCACATCGCCGTGATCCAGACATACCACAGTCGCCTTCCGCACACTCGTTGGCGTAATTGTTCTTTCCCCAGAGGCCTTGGAGTCGATTGCTGCCTCCTTCAACACTCTGATTTCTATTGGTTAGTTCCGACAACTTTGTTGTTAAGCATGAGACGCTCACGTTTGCATGAACCGCATATAGTTGAGATACACCTAGCTTGTATTAGCCAGCGCGCGTCAGGACGCGTCGGGGGGGGGCAACGCACCAGCACATCGAGGTTCTTGGTGGCATTGCAGTTGGAGTGCGCCTTCAAAATCTTCTTCGCCGTTGCCCGGGGATAGGCTTTCTTGATGGGTGCCATTGTGTGCTGTATTAGGGGAAGTGGTGATTCTAGAAAGAGTGTCGCTTGCACATTCGCCACGCGTTGGTGTTGACCCCAGGCTGAAGGTTGAAGGCTGAATATGGCCCCACACGAGCATTCCCAGGTCCCTGGATCCACGCCTCATCCCTGTACTTGACAGGCGCTCTGTCACGTGAGCAATCGAGCCCTCTCACCACCCTGTGTACCTATTGAGAGCGGCAAACCTGACGCAACAGCGACCGCTTTGGATGGCTCGCAGCTACAATCTCGAATTGATTCGACATTTGCTCCCTACTCTGTCACTGAGGCTCTCCAAATGAAAATGTCTGTGTGATGTGCTTACCCGATGCGTTCCCTACATCTCATGGGAGCGGTCCGGCTAACGTAATGTTGACTCGACTTTGAACACCACTATGGTCCCCGAATTGATCCTCTCACTTGGAGTCGTGAGCGACAGCTAGCATTGTACACATGATGACAGTTGTCTTCTCATAGCTTTCTCAGCGCTTAACATACCATGGCCAGATTCCAGGTGTTTTATGGGTTATAAGATAGTAAATGGTAGACTGGTTTCATCCCAGACGTAGTTGATTTACGCTTAGGTATAAACAATAATATCATTTCGAGTCACTTATAGGTGACTATGATGGCGAAACAGGTGGCACCTGTGCAATGTTGGAATCCCTGCAGCATGTGCGAAGTACAGTGCCAATTTGATATCCGTACGCCACCAGCGTCCCCCCGATGGAGGGGTTGCTTCCAGTCTGTCAAATTGTCGAGCTTCAAGAGCTCCAGAGATTCGGAGCGTCACGTTGCAGCTCCTCGATTACACACGTCACCAGCACGAGTCCAAGTCCGACCACACAATAGTCGCCAAGATGATGACCCGAAGAATGGTATAAAGACTCTACAGCAACCGACACGTAGCCTGAGCTGATGATTGTGCAGCTCACGAAAGAGGACGAGGAGGCGACCGGCGACGAGACCGAAGTCCGCAGAGAGGACCAGGACAAGATCAACAAATTCAGTCGTCTCCACCAGCGCGAACTGGCGATACAGGACGAGCTCAAGGTTAAGAACGTAGGTGGCGACCCTTGAAACCTTTCGCAGATGCGGCCGCTGACCGGATTGTGCCAAACAGAAAGAGAAGGAGGAGCTCGACGATCTAAACACCGAGCTCGAGCTCATTGACGAGGACGACACCGTACCGTACGCTAGCTGTGCCCTGATGGTGTCACTTTCACTGACAGATTGTCTAGCTACAAGATTGGCGATACATTTTTCAACGTCCTGCAGCCTCAAGCTTTGGAGATGTTGGGCGAGGCGACGGCCAAGATTGAGGAGGAGGTCGAGAAGCTGGAGGCGAGGCTCGAGTCGACAACAGAGGAGATGACAGAGCTCAAGGTCGCACTATACGCCAGGTTCGGCAAAAGCATCAACCTTGAGACGTGAAGAGAATATAGAAGAACAGGCCTCAGTCGACAGCTCAGAGACGGTTCGATCCAATCTACAGATACCCAAAATCGCAAAGATGTATTACGAGGACAGTGGCCACCTGAGCCAATTTCTCAACCCCTTGCTTCCACCAGAAATCATAATTTTCAAAAGTTCACTTGGCCCAATGCCAACCAAAAGTCGGATCGTCACGTGCAGTATGCCGAGATACGGTTGGAGACGGCTCATCGACAGTTAATCCATCGGCCCGGAAAACATGTTCCCTCCCCCATGCCAAGTCCCTGGCGTCACTGTCTGCAGCCGACGCCCCCTCACCTATCTTCTCCGGGGCACATAGAGGATGATCATCAGCCCTGGGACCGTCAACTTGGCCGGCAAACTTGGGCCGACAATGGAAATAGCACTTGTGTTGGCTCCAAGTCCGATCTCGCTCGACTGTAACGCTTTGTGGAACGAAATAGGAAGCGCCTCAGTCTATAGTTCCGAGTTGCAGGTCGATCGTTGATCGGGCCTCTCAACGTGGGCGGACATTCTGGTCCTAAGGAACCGACACCGCCAGCGCCTGATCACTTAACCGGACGCCATGTCCACCATGGCTGTCTCCTGCCTAGATAGATCAATATGCCTGTCACTTTTTATCCAATATTCCGTCACGGACCTGCACATCTGCGCCCTTCCATCTACATGCTTGGCAACACTGTGTAACACGTCTTATGTTGGAGGAGTCGACGTTACCCTTAGTGTATTGGGCCGTTGTTGCCAACAACAATGGCAAATGAACATGTCCCAGAGTCACGAATATCGAAACACTAGGGATGTCGTTGAGGGTAAGTCAATCTTATGGTCTGGCTTCCACTGATGGCCTCCGGTCGTTTTTGCAAGAATATCACATAATAACACCATGCGAAGCCGTTCGGCATCCTGATCCAGCGGGCGCAGCCGCCAAAGCTCCTGGCGAGGAACCAAGCCAGAGTCGCGAGGAGAAAGAGTCGCACACTGGCCTGCCATGCACATCCGGAGAAGACGAAGAGAAGACAATAGTATCATGGGAAGACAACGATCCTGAAAACCCCTATAACTGGTCCAGCGTGAGCACAAACATCAGCCAGACGTCACGAGAAACGACTAACGATACCCAGACCAAAAAGTTCCTTATCCTGCTCCTCACCATGATGCTCATCATCAATAGCACCATGGGATCGGCTTTGCCATCTAATGCCATCCCGTATATATCGGAACAATGGGACATTGCTTCGCCGCAACGCCAGATTCTGCCCATCTGCGTCTTCATGATCGGCTACTTCTTCGGGCCCATCCTCTGGGGGCCTTTGAGTGAACACTTTGGCCGCCGCATCATCACCAACGTGACTTTCATTCTGTTCACCGTATGGACGTTAGCTTGTGCTCTCGCGCCCAATTTTGCGGCGCTGAATGTGTTCCGTCTCTTCGTTGGCGTCTTCGCCAGCGCTCCGATAGCTGTCGTTCCGGGCATCATGGCTGACATATACGGAAACCACAAGACTCGCGGCCGTGCTATGTCGTTCTTCATGGCTGTACGTCCTGCCCACGTCCTTGTATCTGCCCACGTATTGACGCCTTGACTTACAGACTACCTGTTTCGGGCCTCTCTTCGCCCCCATCATCTCAGGTTATTGCTCGCCGTCTATCGGCTGGCGATGGACTTTTTGGATCGGGCTCATCTACGCCGGTGCCACCTTGATTCCCCTCCTGTTCTATCTTCCCGAGACATCAGCCTCAATCCTGCTCGCCCGCCGCGCCGCACGTCTACGAAAACTAGATCCAGTAGGTAACGCCCACATCGTGGCTGCACGCGATCTCGAGCACACGGATCTTCACCAGCTCGTCACCGTGGTACTGACGAGGCCGCTCCGCATGATCGCCTGCGAGCCCATAGTCTCCTGCTCCTGTGCCTACCTCGCCTTGATCTACGCCATCTTCTACATGTCCTTCCAAGCCTTCCCGATCATCTTCAACACGCTCTACGGTCTCGGGCCCGGCCCCACGGGTCTCGCATTCCTCCCCATCGGCGGCGGCTCCCTCCTCAGCCTCCCCTTCTTCTTCGCCTACGACCCGACCCTGACGCGCCTCCGCCGGCGCCACCCCGCCCTGCGCAAAGAGGAGTACCGCCGCCTCCCCCTCGCCTGCGTCGGCGGTCCCCTCTTCGTCGCCTCCCTCTTCTGGCTCGGCTTCACCGCCCGCCCCTCCCTCCCCTTCTGGGTCCCCATGCTCGCCGGCCTCCCCTTTGGCGCGGGCTTCATGCTCATCTTCATGGCGCTGCTCAACTACCTGACGGACGCCTACGAATCCTTTGCCGCGTCCGCCAACGCCGCCGCCTCCATGGCCCGGTCGTTCCTCGCCGTCGTCCTGCCCCTCGCCACGCGCCCGCTGTTCGACCGCCTCGGTGTCGCCGGCGCGTGCGCCCTGCTCGGCGGCCTCAGCGCCGTCATGGTGCCGATCCCGTTTATATTCATATGGAAGGGGGACCGCATACGCGCGGCGTCGCCGTTTTGCATTGCGCTTAGGCAGCAAGAGGATGAGCGGGAGCGGGAGGCTGATGGGCGCCGGCGGAGGAGGGAGCAAGCTGCTGCTGCTGCTGCTGCCGCCGGCGAAGATGCGCGACAGGCGTCGCCAAGGGCTGCGGGCGTTTGAGCTGGGTAGAGGTAGATTGATGGGGAAAGCCTGGATCTGCGCTTGTCAGGCCAGATTCCCCATACGCTTGGCTCTTGGGTTGCAGTGCGAGACGAATACAACCCATGATCATGACATGACATATGATACCTGCCTTAGGACGGATGCTAAGCGTACACAGACATTGATCGCAGTGTATCAGGTTTCTATAGCACACGTAGCCGATGCATGATAGGTCCCGGGAACAGGCAAAGACGGTTATACGGACGCGAGCCCTTCCCGAAGTAGCATGTTCTGGCCCGATCGCATGACGCAAGGCACGTTCGTCCGAGAAGTCTGCGTCCAAGCCACCAGCCGCACCCATCATGCCGGTCAACATTTCGGACTGATAACGCATGAATAAACAAACAGCTGGAGGCTGCATTGACCAACGCCGTCTGATCTACACGATTCGTGATTGCCCCTGAACCAAGGTGTGAATGACATAGATCGAATGAAAATGACGATTCACAAAACATGCACATACACACATCAATAGATCCATTCATACGGTCTCGACCACAAACCGCATCCCCATTGCTACGAGAAGCGAGTTAAAGAGAGCCCAACATGTTGTGATACATGGGAACGAAATGAAACAACTGTTTTTTCCTTGAACCAGTTGGGGCCAGACCACCCGGCTACAACGCTATAGAACATATTCCTCCCGACAAGTACCGCATTCCGGCTCTCCAAGGAGTTGGCCGAGGAAAGCTCTATCAATCACCTGCTTTGAAACTGTGCACAAAAAAGAAAAAACGAAGGTTGTCATGAATTCATAGATTCTTCTCGTATACGAAGAAAGAGTAAGCTTGACATATAGAATCTACACTTCCATATACAACACGCTTCTGGGGGAGAAGGGCTGCGAAGTCTCTGGATCAGAGACTTAGACGAGCCTCTGGGGCCTGGCGTTGCTGAAGCGGGTGCGCTTGTAAACAGGCTTGTAAACAGGGGCACCGGTAGGCTTGGGAACACCACTGGGGAGGGTGCCGTTGTTGCCAGTAGGGTAAGGGACAGGCTCGACGGTGATGGTCTTGGACAGGGTGACGACGTCGTCGGTGGGGCAGTCATCCTCATCCTCCTCATCGACATCCTCATCGTCCTCGTCGTCATCGGCGCCAGGGGCGGGAGTGGACTCGGCCTTGCTGGTCTCGGTAGCGCCGCCACCAATAGTAACGTAGACGGTGGAAGCAGGGGCGGTGACGGTCACGACGGAGACGGAGGGGCAGGCACCCTCGCCCTCGGAGGAGCCGTTGTCGGAGCCGGAGCCGTTGTCGGAGCCGGAGCCGGGGGTGGAGCCAGTGCCGGTCTCCTTAGGCTTCTCGACAGTGACAGTGATGGTGCCGGTGGAGGTAGCGGTGGTGGTGGTGGTCAGCTCATCGTCAGAGCCGGAGCCGGGGATGACACCAGTAACGGTGGCGTCGCCGTAAGGCTTGGTCTGAGAGGCGACGTTCTCGCCCTCGGAAGAACCGTCATCCTCCTCCTCGTCGTCATCGCCCTCGTCGGTGGGGCAGTCCTCCTCGTCGTCCTCCTCATCCTCGTCGTCACCGACGGGGGCCTCAGGGGAAGCGGCCGAGGTGGTGATCTCGGGGGTGGGGTAGCCGGTAGGGGCGGGAGCAGTGGGGCCCTCAGTGATACCGGGGACGGCGCCGGTCTTGGTGTAGCCGGGAAGCGAGCCGGTCTCGTGCTCCTTGATGATGGACTTGGAGATGGTGGCAGCCTCGGCCACGGGGCAAACAGTGGTGGAGAGAACGACGGTGTTGGTGACAACAATGACGGACAGGTCAGAGGCGGGGAGGGTGCTGGAGGCAGCAGCGCAGTTGGTGACGGTGGGAGCGCACGATGTGATGGTGGCGACCTCGGTGACCTCAACAGTCAGCGTGGTGTAGCCGGCGGGGGCCTCGGGGTAGGTCTCGTTCTGGCGGCGCCAGTGGTAGTGGTGGGGCTGGTAGGCGTTGGCAACGGCGAGGAGGCCGGCGGCGGCGACGACGGACTTCATTGTGAATGCTGGTGATGGTTTGTACGGAGTGAGTTGTTTGTTTGTTCGGGTAGTTGTCGAGGGATATGTTCGTCGTTGTTATTTGATATGCACGGGTTCAAAAGGCGAAAGATCAATTTCGCGTTGAGTAGCTAGCAGACACAGTTTGCTTTGCTGAAAAGAATGGAATCTCGAGTGAGGGATGATCAGAAGGACTGTATGCTGCGATTGAAGGAATGTAAGTGCCACAAGGGACTAAAGAATGACTGGAAGGTTGAGGATGGATTGCGAGTAAACGACAAGACCGTAGGTGAGAGGAGAGGGAGGAAGAGGAGGAGGATGAGACGAGGAGGAGGGTGAGTCCTTTTACATCGCTCGGTCTAGAGTGTGTGAGCTGCAGCACCCGCCTGGCCTTGGCAAGGTCATAGGACTGTCTATCGCCCTCGCATCTAGACTAGACCCTGGCTCTCCTCTCAAATCCTCTCTCCTGGCCTGGCGGGTGGTGCCTGACAGCCCTGGTCTCGAGCAATCTGGCAGCGCTCGCTGCGCCTTGGCGGGGGAACGAGGCAAACCGCCAACGCTGGCGGGCGGGTGATGGGGACACAGGAGTGCGAGGCACCACACTGCCAAACTGCTTCTCCTCTCCTGGCCTGTTCCTTAATCTCTCGACGACCCCACTCAAGTGTGCCTCAAGGCCGAGATGACGGGGCCTACCTCGCCCAGACCCTGCCAGGGTGCGGTGAACGATGCTCGTTGGCGTAAGGAAAAGGAGAAGGTGGTGTGAAGTGATCAAGCCGGTGCCCCTGGATTTCGCTCCTTATGCAGGTACGGGACAACTTGATACATAGCGTTGGGCCAATCAACCCCACCGCAGCAGGCCACACCCTGGTTGAGAATCGTCGCACCAGACGCAGACCCCTGAACCCGCCCGCCCCAGCCTCCGATGAGTGGGACGAGGGATCGTTCCCTGGCAGTGCCTTGTTCTTTCTCGACTCAAATGGTAGACCCTCGATCTCTTCGCTGCAGCTTCCAGGCCAGCCAGCAGCCGGTCGGTGGCTGGAAATTGATTTGCGCAAGTCGACTCGTTTAGATCGTGAAAACGGCTTCGTGATGCCGGATAACGTCAGCATCCTTCTGTCTAGCGAAAGCAGCAAGAGCCGCACGGCTTGTTCGGTCTTCTATACGTTTTGTGGTGAGGGGAAGTCCCGTGGCTTGTGCTGATGGTCGAGCTTGGATATCGCTCGGACGGTGCTGTGAGGTGGCCAGAGCTGGAGAGGGCGCCGACCAACTCAAATGGCGGCCTGCGGCGCCTGTGTGTGAGAGTTGCTTCTGTTGAGGTCCCGATCTTGCCCAGCAGCCGCAAAAGTGATCGCATTTCCAAAAGCATCACATTGCTGCACCTTGGTAACGTTCTTGATTTGGCCTTGCTGCCCAGGACACCAATCAAGAGAGCGGGCGTCAAAAGAGACCGCCATGCCACAGGACGGTAGTGACGGGAAAGAGCGTATGCTTAACAATACAAACCAGATTGAATTTCGATCGACCCAAAAGGCTGGCGTTACTCGTACTGGCTGGTGCACGCATGCGTTAGGCGGCTAAAAAGTCGCAATTTTCGCTGTGAAGCGAACCACTCAGTGTCGCCATACACGTGGAGGAGGTGTGCAACGAATGCGAATGGTGTGAGACAAGAGGGCCCTGTAGGGCGGCGATAGAGTCATGTCGTCCCACCAGGGACTTCCATACCGCTGGACAGGTCTGCAACCTCGTTTGAATTGCGACCTTTTCCACGTCGTTTCTTCGGATTTGGTCAACGGCCTCCAAAATTCGCCTCACAGCCCGTCGTGGGAGGCGGCTCCGAAACTTTTCTTCTGCTTTTCTTCTTCGGAGTCCACGGGGGAACCCTGCCAGCAGATCGCCCTGCACAAGGACTGGATTTGACGGCTGGTGGAAATAGAGCCTGGATGGGGATGGGTGGGTGCTCGGCCCAAGCTTGTTCATTTGATGGAAACACCCGGCGTCGGTGGACCAATATCTGAAGTGGTTCGTCGCTTGTCACTCGCCAAGTTTCGTTGACACCCGTGGGATCCCCGTGCTTTTGCGAGAGATGCGACGCTGTCAGTAGTACATGTAACAGCCGCCGCCACCGACACTGTTATTGCCAGAACCAGTGGGTATTCCTTGGGCAACTCGCAGCGCGCGCCAGCCCGGATGGCTGAACATGACCGTTGGCATCCCCAGGAAAAGGGGCTGCCGGACCCTGGTGGCGATCCCCGGTCAGCGAAGCGCCCATCATCTCCCGCCGTGATTGGGCACCGTGACCCAGTGAAAACCACTCACAAAAGTGAAACTCAACTCAACAAAAGACGATCAGAGTGGGCCCTGGATCTTTGGCGGACGTTAGAAGCTTATTACGTCTGCAATCTCTTCGTAATGATCAAATAACGAGATCAGAAGGATCGGGACATGCTGAGATTGTCTCAAGGACGTCCCATGCCGCCGCAACATTGTGCAAACCGCCGAATGTTCTCGACCGTCTGCACCAGCCCAGTATTCCCCTCTTGACATTTTCGATGACGTGGTCTGCAGGCAAGGCCCCTGAATCAAGAAAAGCGGCACTGCCGACGTGTCTTGTAGTCGCGCGGCCGAGGTTCAGCTCAGGAGGAAGCCGGTGAGTGCCTGCGGTGCCGGTCTACACGTTCTGGATAGAATTCCAGCCAGAAGTACCACACATTGAGTTGTTGTCTTGGCATGGAACACCGTCCATTTACTTCTTCTCTTTTCTTCCTCTTCGTCGTTTGACCCGCTTTCGAAGCCTGCTTCGTAAGAGCCATGTTGGCCACCGAAGAGAAAGTCTCTGTCCGTGCATAGCGTCGGAAAGCAAAGATGCATCATCCCTTGACGAACAGCGCTCAGTGGTCGAATTCTTGCATAAGCTTCTTCTGTTGCCAGCACCAGTCGTGCTTCTTCGTCATCCGCTTCGGCTCGTGCGTGTCAGCTAGCTAGCCCGGCTCACTTGATCTGACATGGCGAAGAAGCAAGTCTCGTTCGATATGCGCCGCGTGGAAGCCTGGACTTGGGATTTGAGTCGGAGGCGTCTGACATGAGATACATTAGGCAGGTGGGTAGGAGACGGCATGCCCCCACATATCGTATGCTAGACGACCGAGAAAAGCCGGGATTATTCAACAATGAGTTGGACTTTTGTCAGTTCGCAAAGAAAGTCACAGTTGTGGGCGTCTCAAGTGTGGGAAGGTGAAGTGAGGCACGAGCAAAGTTGCCTGGGTACCTAGGTATCTTGGAATGAACATGAGGGCGGGCGGGCAGGGCACATAGAAGACAGTCGCTGGCTGGGTGCTCCTGCTCACCTCCGTTAAGGATGGCCAAGTTCATGAGCCACCTTGCGAAGAAGGAGCACCCAGGTTGTTTTCGCCCTTGGCCCCAGGCGATGTACCTGCCCTACCTGTCCAAGGTCCTTACCTTAGGTAGTTGGCACGGCTTCTGTTGTTCAGTTATCAAAGAGCCATGGCTCCTGGTCGACAATGTGAACTATACACATTTGGTGAAAAGTCACCAGCGAGCATCGGCAGTACCTGACTTGATGCGGAAGAGCAAGGTCCTTTCACAGTCTGGTCGCGAACGGGACCACGTCATTCGAGGCAGCTATAACGGTTCTCAACGATGGACACCTCTGTATCCGATTTGCGATATCTCAGGCTCGTCGTGCGCGAGCAGGAACAGACGGCGGTGCGAGACCTGGCAGTTGCGCCTCTTTATCGAATGTAAGACGTACGGCCGGTCGTCCTGCAACATGCTGCCCGGTGCTCGCTGCCTCGCCTCCTTGCTGCTGCTTGGCCATTTTGTACGCCTTCATCGTCTTCGACTTGCCCTTCACACCAAATGCCCCCTCTACCGTCTGCTCTGCCTCCGTTTGCCCAGGTTCATCTACACGGGAATGGCATCACGAGCTGCATCTCTTGTGCCAATAACCTCTAGCTCAAACGGCATTCGGCGATCTCTTCCACAGACAAGTCATCATACAGAAGATCTGCTTGCTGTATTGATCGGTTCTTCTTTCTCGGGTCCTCGTCAACACGTTATGAAAAACTCTGGAGCCCGATTTTCCGCCCGACGACTGGCACAAAAATTCTCAAGCAAGTATGTCGGCTTTCTGCTGCTGCAGGACGCAACAAGGAGATGATGAAAATGTGGCAAACAGTTCACCGCTTCCGAATGCGATACCTGTTCCTGTCCTTCCGCTGCCCGTCAAGGTCTCGGATACCCGACTGTGTGAGTCTTGGACACCGGACAACACTGCGCGTATACAACCCAGTCTCCAGCAAGGCACTGCGGCTTCCCTGCGGTCTCTCGGCGCAGCGTCATCAAACTCGTCCCTGATGCCGAACCACGAGTCTATCGAAGTTGGTCAGCTGGTTGTTGAAAACTCGAATTCAGATGTCGACACGGCAGATGCCCCTACGAGTGGCAAAAAGAGCAACAGTCCACTTGACCTTGTCCGCACCAAATTCCATCGAAACAAGTCGCATCACAGCTCAAGAACAGGACCCCGAGCAGGCCTCGGTGCCAGTGAAGAGGAAATGGCCCGTCGAGCCGAACTGAAGAGAATTATGCACAAGAGAATCCAAGAGGAGTTGAAGAGCGAAGAGGAGCAGCCTGAACCGAGTACCGGGTCCGCTTCTGCCGTGAAATATTCTACAACCCCTATCGACTTTCCGGGAGGCGGTCCCCGTGACCACCTTGAGTTTTCCATTGCGAATGCGTCTTTGGCTGATGCCGAGGCTCGCAAAGATGCAGCAGATGAGCAGTCCAACGCCGTAGACGAGCCTATTAAAGATGAACGCGACAAGGAGTATGATCTCAGTCGGCGTCGGAGTAGCTGTCCGCAATCATCCTTGTTTTCTACGCCTGGAGGTCTAGCCACCCTGGTTGTTCTTCGAGAGCGGAACTCACTTCCTGAGCTTCCTCCCTCGCCTGGCATGCGCCCAGTTGGCCATCTTGACGCCCAAAATGCTCTGTCTTCGGAACCACGCTGTTTGCTCATACATACCGGTCGACCTGAACAGATGGCCGATGTCCGCGGAAGCCCAAATTGTCACAGCTCATACCATGTCGACAATTCGCCAGACGGCAATTCGGCTCTATGTACATGGCTGATGACTCAAGGGCTGTCAAACCATGCACACATCACAGGAAGAGCTATAGAATCACCGTTGAAGTTGGCGTCTGAGATCGAGGGAACCACCACCAAGGTGCCACAGGCTACAGCCCTACGTTATTGTTCATCTCTGGAAACCCCTGCTCTGACAAAAGGGCAAACGTGTCAGCACCTGCAGCACTGCCAAGACGACGACACTGTCAATTACTCATTGCCGAATAAGGAAACATCAATTGCACGAGATGTGAGGTGTACTGATTGTACTGTCGGCGCCAATATTTTCGATACAAGCTGTCCGTCAAAAGAGACCGTCCGCCTGCCTACACCGGAGATACCAAGCACCGGCAGCGAGTCCAGAAAGGCAACAACAAGCTTACATGGCCTTCAGCTGTCACCCTTTCGATGTGAGTTTCCGATCACCTGCCCATGGACCGGCTTGGACATTGGCTAACCTTATCCATCGAAGGGCTTGGGTCAGACGGAGATAGCTTCTTGAAGGGCTCTGACAATCTGACGCTTGGTGGGAATGAATCCGGGTTCAGTCTGATAGTTCCTACAACGACGGGCTCACGCCGTCAGACTGCGGATGTGGGATCTTCACTGGCAGTGTCAGAGACATCGAGCTATCGGCATCAAGAAGCTGAGTTGAAGACTATTGAAAAACGGTTCGGTGATGTTCTCTCAAAACGCGGGCGGCCCCCTCTAAAGCACAGCAAGTTCAGGGAAGAATTTGAAGAGACTGGACCGCCAGTGGCCATCACCCGTTCCTCCTTTTTGCTGCAAAAGCTTCACATTCCTGTGCTGAAGCGGGCGAAATCAAGTTCAAAGACTGACGTTCAGGCGACTCCGCGATCTGAGGCGCCGGCCGAAACATTGGTCGTGGGCCTGAACCGAGGCAGCGTCCGGTCCCCAAACCAACCTTTACACAGTCATGAAGGAACAAGCACGCGGACTTCAACGCCACATATGTACTCGACTCCAACACTAGAGGAGAGTACTACCGACCTGTGGCAGAGGGCTGTCCAACTGGAGCGAGAGTCTCGCAAGGGAGCTGTCAGGGCTGCAGCGGTCAAGAAGGATCGGAAAAAGTTAGCTTCCAACAGCAGCGTCCATCTCAAGGTCGGGAGATGGAGAGGAGTCCAGCGGAGCAAGTCACTCGAGTCGACCAACGCATCAGACGCTAATGTTCCCAATCCACAACACTCGTCAGCAGGAGATGATCCTGATCGCCAGAAACAACCTGCATCGCCAAGTTGTCTGGGAACCAAGCTTCCCGGACGAGTAATGCATGACGAACAAAAAAGATACCAACCCCATCACGAGTCTGAGGATCGGGGAGAGAGGGTCCTCCAGAACCCCAATATAGGCATACCGCCACCAGAAGCATGGTCCAGATGGCCATCACAAACACGAAAAGAGCGGACGGCGGCAGCAGGGTACTCGGATGGTATGAAGTCCAGAGATTTTGCGATTGTTGCTTCGACTGGCGATGGACGCATTGAATGGATCACTGACAAAGACCCAGCAGCTCTCATGACTGATTTGCAACTCGGCTCTCGGTCCTTCTCTGGGAAATTTGGCAAAGCTGTCAAAACTGGACTGGAGAAGCTGCTTCCTCCCAAATCAGGGCCTCTAGACGAGGCAGGAAGATCTCTGAGTGGACATGTGGCCTTTGCTGGCAAGCGACTTGAATATCCCGAACTTGAAATTCTCCCAACAGAAGGGGGCTACAAGGAGCTCAAAGCACTCGAACAGGGCATCGACATCGTCAAGAATCGCCACCTAGAGCTTCCTACCAGAGCAACGGCGACGGACATGCGAAAACGTTCAATGTCTCACACGATCCCCATATTGGTGCGTGCAGCTGAGCAAGAAAGACATGATTGCATTCAGGAGGACGACATCGTGTCTGAAGCCATTCTAACGGCGGCTGATGCACCGCAACCTCGCGAAACGCAAGCTCGACCAGTAACGCCTGCGCAACTGATCAGTCGGCCGATGAGAGAATCTATCATGATACCTGATGATTACTTCACCACTCCGCTGACAAGCAGACGCGTTACGCGCCGCACCCGAGATTCGACGCTGACGACTGGAACCATTGAGAGATATGTGACCCCTCGCAGTCATATATCACGTACCCCATCGCTTCGCTCCCCGTCGAGTATGTCGATGATGAGTAGTAGTACTGTCGTTCGACGGTGCAAGTCAGCTGCAGAGCCAACACCGAGCCAAACGAACCTCTCAGCATACGAGGGTAGGTCCATTGCTCAACCCGATGTGCTGAGGAGCACGCAGGAGTTCCAGGATGAACTGGATAGAAGGCTCAACATGGAAAAAGGCGAGACATTTACAACCACGCGGACGAGTATCGAGGAGGGATGCTCAGAGCACACCTTACCCCCATTGCATTAGTAGGACACAAACCGCCTCGAACCGAGGACACTCCTTGCCTGAAGAGTTGCGACGCATGATAGACTGCGGAATTGGTCATCACGAATACGAAACGAGACAGAATATATGTTTGATAATCCCGGGGCTCGCGAGGCACGAAGGGGGGGTCGTGAGCAAGGTAATAAGAGCCAACTGATCAGAACGGCATAGATTCGGCGTGAACGTACGGTGCTGTTGGCTTTTGAATTCAATAGGAGACAATTAGAATACGGAAGCCATCAATGCACAAGCGGGACATATCGGAAGAAGTTGTGATCAATTTGCTTGCTACAAGTCAGAGTCATCAGTCATGTACTGTCCGGCCTTCCTCCCGAAGTCGCCATCTGTCGTATTGCGTCTATCCGAGCAAAACCTGCTGGAACTGCTGCGGCTCAAGATGCTGGGCCAATACATCTCGCAGCACCGCTCTGCTCCGTGCAATCTCTGGCACGACATTCTCGACGGGCTGCAGGTTGGCGCGCAGACTCTCCATATGACTGCCCAGGCGGGCACCAATGCCCTCGAGACCAGGCACATCAATGTCCTGGAACAACGCCCGCGGCGGCGCATCAGCCACGTGAAGCGTCCTGTCGGCAGGACGCGACTCGATGACAGTGGGCTTACCCCGCCCGTCAGGCACGAGCGGGTGCGCCTTGCGCGCGTCCTCGCGGAGGCGGCGAATTTCGGAGCGGGCATTCGTCTCCAGAGCCTCGAGCTCGGCGTACTCCTTCTCGAGGGCGGCCTCCTCGCGAGCGACCTCAGCGCGGAGCAGGGCGTTGCCGTGCAGGAGGCCGGTCTGGGTGCGCTCGAGGGCCTTGACGGCGTCGATGCAGCGCTCGTAGTCAAGCTCCTCGTCGCAGGGGTCGGTGTCCCGGGCTGCTGCTGGCCCCGCTGCGCGCGTGCGGCTGGGGGCGCCGGAGGCGGCTGGCGGGAAGGGGAAGCGGCGGGCGAGCTTGCGGGCGAGGTTGTGCGAGACGGTGCGGAGGGCAAAGGCGGCGTGGTCGCGGCGTTTGGTATTTGCCGCGAGGCGCTGGAGGACGGGCCGCTCGGCGAGATGGAGGAGGGACGTGATGATGGCGATGGAGGGGGCCGGGAGCGGGATCCAGGTTGCTTCGATCTTGGAGCGCGGAATCGAGGCTGGTTTGGTGCCGATGTAGCGGTATCGCGCCGAGGGCTTCGGAGGAGCAGGGGCGTCGGTTATGGAGTCTGCGGTGACGCGACGCTTCTTGGTTGCGGGTTCGGCGGTTGGGACATCGGTCGAGGGCCGTGGTGCCTTGCTCTTGTTCTTGGGTTTGGGCGATTGCGGGGGTTCGGCAGTGGATATGTTGGAGGTTCGGGGCCGGCGTCTTGGCTTTGGTTTTGGTTGTGATGGTGGTGGTGGATCGAATGGCAGAGAGACGTCGCTCCGGCGCGGACGCCCTCTCGACTTCTTCGCTGGCGGATCTGTCTCGATTGCTGAAGCCTCGGCTGTGGTTGATGGAGGTGGTTGTCGTGTACGAGCTTCGGAAGGTTCGCCTTGTGCTTGTTCTTTTTCTTCGGCAGGCTGTCGCCCTCGTTTGCGCTTCTGAGTCCTTCGAGGCTCTGGCGGTTCGTCCTCTTGCCGTAGCTGCGTCTCGGCAGCGGTTTCGGCGAGCGAGGGTCGCCCACGTTTCCTCTTGCGAGCTTGCTGGTCAGTCTTGTGTGTCTCGTCGTTGATCGTCTTTCGCGAGCCGTCGGATGGCTCAGCTGTCACATGTGCTTTGCTGGCAGTAACTGTTGCAGCGGCAGGGCCATCGTCCTGGCTGGTCTGGTTGCCGGTGTTGGTCTCTTGGTTCTTCGCGCGTGTTGGTCTTCCGCGACGGCGCGTGTGCGGTTCTGGGATCAGGGCCGATTGTGGTTCTGGCGTAGGGACCGATTGCGCAAACGGCTTATTTCTCGAAGGTCGCCCTCGTGGTTTGGGGGTGCTCTGGACCTGGCCCTCAAAGCTGAGCTCTTCGTTGACATCTTGTGGCAGCGCTGGCGGTTCAGGTTGCGACGCGTCTGACGCGACGAGTGCTGCGCGTTTCCGGCCTCGGGATGCGGCCTTGGGAGGCTGCGCGTTCATTGTCAGCAGGGTCATGACGTGTTGGGCGCACGAGAGACGCGTACCATCTTGAGGAGAACCCAGAATTCGGGCTCACATGGGTGTGCGTGTTGTGGTCAAACTGTGAAGATATTGACGTCCGTCGTGGGGTGTGTTCGAGGTGGGATGCGCGATGTGGCTGATGCTTAAGCTACGTGTGGCTGGAGACTCTCGAGGAAGACCATGCGCGCTTAAGGTTCCATGCGCCTAAGACAAAGAATACGGCGCAGAGGTCCATGTACTGATGTTCTGGGCAAGCTGGGTTAGCAGCAGCCAATCAGGCATCCCAGTGCTAAGCAGCTCCAGTTCCCTGGCTCCCTGGCTTCCTGGCCCGTTGGCCCGTCGTCCGGCGTGGACACGCCCCCCTGGCAGCCTGGCAGGCACTTGTGTGATTTCGCCTGTGGAGGCCTTGGGGATGGGGAGATTGATGGCCCTCCCTACACTGAGCTGGCTGGTGCTGTGCAGTGAGTGTCCTTGGGAAGGTAAGCTAGGCCAGGAGGCAAGGTAGGTAACTACAAGTACGGTGATAGCCAGAGAAGGTCGTCGGACGCGTTGGATGTGCATGTTGCGACGGCGCGCCTTGTTGAGGCCTTCGAGACGCCCGCATTCTGCCTGAAGTGACTTGGCCACCGTCGCCACTTGGTGCGTCTGTCGCGATGGACCCTAAGAATGGGATTCCATCCTCCTCCCGTTCTGATGACATTTGCGTTCATCGACGAATCTCCTCTCCAATAGTTGGCCCTCCAATCTTATCGGCTCCCCTCGGCGCTGCTGGACCCTGAAAAAGGCCCCATTCCCTCCTTCGATACCACTTGTCCCAAGCTCCTACCTCCCTCTCTCTCTCTCTCTCTCTCTCTCCACCTTTCTTCACCTCCGCACTCCCTCCTTCTCCTCTCTCCCTCCGCCTCCATCTCTGTCTCCGTCCACCCGCCCAACATGCGTCTGTCCGTCTCCGCCATCCTCGCGCTCCCGCTCTTTGCGGCTGCCGCTGAGAACCAGTTTGAGGAATACAAGGCCCAGTTCCAGACCTACCTCGACCAGTTTTCCTCCTACATCCCCAACCCCAACAGATACGATGCCGCCGACGCCCACGAGGCCAAGACGGGCGCGAAGAAGCTGTCCATCCTGACCCTCGACAACTGGGAGGAGACGCTCTACTCCACCGTCCAGCCCTCCCAGACCACCCCCGAGGAGTGGTGGCTGCTGATCACGGGCCGCAACAAGACGTGCTACAGTATGTTGTTCTCTGCCTCTTGCTCGAATCGCCCCAGACCTGCCCTGCCCTGTGTCCGGCCGGCACACTTGACCCCATGAACACGGCTGACACGAATCCCCTTCCTTCTCCAGACCAGTGCGGACCCGCCGAGGTGGCCTTCAACGCGACCGCCGAGAAGTTCGCCCTCGACCCCAAGGCCCCCCACATGGCCCTCCTCAACTGCGACGACCAGCCCGTCCTCTGCACCATCTTCTCCTGCAACGCCAACAGCCTCTGGGCCATCGACCTCCTGCCGCCCGGCAACAAGGTCGACATCTGGGCCCGCCGCATCAACGGCACTACCGTCACCTCCCAGACCCTCGTCGACCTGCACGCCGCCCACGACCGCGCCGACTGGCACCTGCTCAACCACGCCTTCCACCCCTTCAACAGCTGGATCGCCGAGCACGGCCTCTCCGTCCCCGTCGGCTACTTCATCTGGTTCTTCGCCACCGTTCCCAACTGGGCCGTCATGCTGCTCGTCTCCTTTGCCAGCCGCAGGATGATGAACCGCCGCATGGCCGCCGGCCCCAACCCGCCCCGCGCCTGAGCGACCTGCTTTTCTGTCCCTTTGTCGCTTTGGGGTTTTCGGGGGGATTTGGCAGACGTGAAAGGGGGCAAGCTGAAGGCAAACAAAATCGGGAAACTGGAAAGGAGAAAGGGAAGGAAATGTATCATGATGGGGTATCTCACTGGGGGGTTTCTAGGGTTTCCTCGGGGCGGCTGACAGGAAGGTATACATCTGCGACTTGAAAGGTCGCCGTCGTCACCACCCCGCCTCCTCGTCTGGCAATGTAATGACTGTAGAATAAGACCGATGATTGAATCGTAATGGATGTGCACCTTTTTTTCCTGTCTTTTTCTCTTCTCGTCTCATTTCTTCGCGTCGCATTGCTCTTGCAGGCCCTTTAACCCGTGAATGACCTCCTCCGGCAGCTGCGGGTTCGACAGCCGGCCGTAGCGAAGGTCGCTGAGACTGCCGACCGTCTGCTGGATGGATTCCGCGAGGGCCGCCTCCTCCGCCTCGAGCTTCTGGATCTCAGCCTCGAGGTCCGTGACGGCGCTGTCTAGCTCGGGGATGACTGTCTCGAGGGTGTGTTTGGGGTCTCTGCCGTTGATGGGACCGAATAGCTGCGGCGGGCAGGGTCAGATTAGACGGAGGGTTGTCCAGCTTGAGTGCCGGCTGAGAGAGGTCACGGGAAGGACAGAAAGGGGGGAAATCACATACTGCGCGCTCAATCTCCATCTCGACATCGGGTTGCTCCTGCGCCGCCTCACGCTTGATGCGGGCGGCCTCGCGCCGCATCGCGCGGCCGCGCTTCTCCTCGACGGCAATGTTCTCGGTGACGGCGTCGACGACGGCGTTGCGCTGGTGCTGGAGGTCGCGGTACAGAGAGCGGATCTGAGGGTTGGACTGCTGAGAGCGGGGGAAGAGGGCGGTGAACTGGTCGAAGGACAGGATGGTGGGCAGCTTGGCTGTGACGGTGAGGTAGTTGGCGAGAATGCTGGATTCGGTTGGCGCCATGGCTGTGGTGATCGGTGTCGAACAAGACAGGCTGTATATGGATGAAGATATGTCAAGGTAACGAGGGAGATGTATACACTGTCAGGGCCGCAAGTGTGAGAAACCTCTAATGTGACGAGTGAGAGGTGAAGATGAGTTTCGAGAATGAGTGTCCGATGTGAGAGTAGTCAGCAGGAGGGGTGGGAGTGGGTGTGGTTGAGACGCGGTGCCAGACGCGTCGAGGGTCTGCGGTGGCGCGTTTGCGTCTCACAAGCCTGACATCTCCGTGACCTGCAAAGCCTACTAGTTGTCCGCAAAGCCCACTGCGTTGTCCGCAGAACTGATCGATTCACTGCGTTCCATTTTGGCGACTGCCATTTACGCCAAGTTTATTCAGAGTTTCCACTCGTGCCAACGCGGCGAGAATCTGACCACCAGTTTCAGCGGCAATCCAAAGTCCAACTGTGCCAATTGCGGAGTGTCACGGTGCGTATGAGGTTGTATTCGCCTGGATGAGCATCCGCTAACTCAGTGGCAGAGGACACGATCCCACGCGCATCGACGCCTCGCACTGTACGTGTTAGTTCCAGACAAGACCCCGGACACCAAGGTTCTTTCACACTGTACCATCCGTACCTCTTTGTACCTGGTCCTCACCGAAGATTCGGCCGTCTTACTGTGCGCAAACCTTATTGCACGGTCGAGGCAGTATCTTCGAACTCACCTCAATCCCCCTTACTGATGCTCACTCCATCAAGCCCCGCGAAGCTCTGATCGCCTTCGTCGCTCAGCCCTCTTCTTGCCCAGGAACTCCACCACACATCAAGACAGAGTTGACTTTCCAATCTGTGAAAAACCCTAAATCTGAGATTCACATCCCTCTGTCCACGCCCCTCCACCGCCGCCAGTCATGGCTCCAGCCCGCCAGCCCGACCAGGCCTCCTTCGCCAAGGACGAGCGCGTTCTCTGCTTCCACCACGAGATGCTCTACGAGGCCAAGGTCCTCGACATCCAGCCCCCCGAGACGGAAAACGACGTCTACCAGTACCGTGTGCACTACAAGGGCTGGAAGAACACCTGGGACGACTGGGTCGCCCCCGACCGCATCCGCAAGTTCACCGAGTCCAACAAGGAACTGGCCGCCCAGCTCCACGCCCAGATGAAGAACCTGCAGAAGAGCACCTCAAAGGTGCCCAAGAAGGGTCTGCGCCCCAACGGCACCGACTCTGCCCGGGGGAGCGAGGAGAGGAGCGCGAGCTTGTTTGCTACCGGCCGTGGGCCTCGCCGGACTCGAGACTACGAGTTGGAGACGGTATGTCACGTTCATGTTTTGTTACGCATCTTTTGCTTCGTTTTTTGCCTTTTTACCGTTGCCTTTTTATTGAGATGCTGGTGCCGTGTGATCCACATCCTTCTTTTGATGGGAGGAGCACCTACAATGTGGTTGGTGAATCAAGTGATCTCAGCCGCCCAACCTTTACTTACCTGACCGACCGACCTCTCGAGGCAACGGCCCATTCTTCTGGAACCATATCAGCCCCGGGAAGCCTTATTTTAAGCCAACATCACTCATAAGGCTCCTACGACAAGAAGTCCATGGCGCTTAAGTCGGTCCCAGCTACGATGTGCACTGGTTTGGACGACCCTCCAAACGCCACGACAGTCTCCTCAACATCACCTGCCAACCAGGATTTTCGCACAATCGAAAGCTTCAAGATTCGAGCAACTCTGGGCTTGAGACCTTGCTGGGCCTCCCTCCGACAGCAGCCAGTAGGGTGTGCATTCAGATTACTTAAAGGCCGTCATTTCGCCCTCCAGAGCTCAGGCAAAGCCAGAAACCATCCGTCATACAACACTCGTTCGTCGTCAGGAATCATACAGTTGCTGCCCAGCCGCCTGATTGTTGCTGAGAATACCAATTCTTGCTCTAAAAAAGAGAGAACCACAACGCCTCGAAGAGAAAATTCTCCGGCATTTGGACGATAACCAAGTCCTACCTGTACCACTCTCTTTGAACATGGCTTCTCAGTACTTTTCGTCTGTCATGGCGCCACAAGCCGGCCAGTCCACCGGCCTTGCTGCCACTTTGAACAGCATTGCCAAGACCATCACCAAGACCATTGCAAATGACCATCAAACTCCGTTGTCGGACAAGCAGTCTCTCTCGAGCTGCAGTCATAGAGAACAAGGAGCCAAGAAGTCCTCCTCAAGTTCGCAAAACACGGTCGTTTTAGTTTCACAGGAGGCATCGCATGCCACCCAGCAGCCGCAAATTCCAGCCGTCAATAGCGGACACTCTGCGCATGAAGAAGAGCAACTCCAATATTCTGAAGATGAAGACTACGATCCCACATATGACACGGCGGAGGAATTACCGCCTCCCCCTACTGCTGCCCAGCTTCGAGACATGGAGCGCAGGTGGCGTCGCGAGGAGGACGAACGCTTGAGGCAGACGCAAAGGATTCTTAGAGAAAGGTTCCCAGACACGTACGAGTGGGCCACATATCTCTTGCAACGCGGCGTGCCCTCGAGATGCCCAGCCGAAATGGAGGCAGCTAAAGCCAACGTGGAGGAATTATTTTCTCTCACAGAACACACTCTATGGAACGATATTGACTGGTCTCAGACCAAAGGGTCTGCCTCTTTCGAGAGGGAGGAGTCTCCTGGTGGGACACTCTACTGAGCATCTGCCTTGCTTCAAACCGCTCGGCGAGGGTCCTGAAGACTGAGGAAATCACGGTCTCAGTCTGCACTGGCGCAGAACACTGCCATGGCTCTCTAAGTATCTACTATGCCTGCCCTGCCTGCTTGTCGGTGGGACGCCATGCTGGAAGGTTCGCACCTTCCACCTGGCACAGCGTTTGCATTACTTGCTTGCACTTCCGCAAGCTTGCGGTCGCTACTGCTCTTGCTTCCGCGTCTGCTCTTTTTTGCACCCTAGCGTTGCATTTGACCACCACATACCAGCGGAACCAACTTTTGCCCTTTTTTTTTTTTTTTGTTTGGCTTGCTTGGAGGCCAATCCACCATTTTCGGCAGCCTTGAGAACGGTGTTTTAAAGATGGCTACCTTTTCCTTTACAACCTGCACTGCGGTCGGCAATACCTCCCCCCGCTGCACCTCATCATGGCTGGCCCAGACTCTAGTGAGGCCGTCGTGTGTTTCCACCTGGAGGGAGCCTCCTCGCGCCTACGACAGCTTCAAAAGGCTGCCTAGGCCAGACCATCTGTACGTCGACCCGGCTGGCAAGTGCTTGTTCGACAAGAAGCATGTCTACTATGGCCAACGGGTCAACAAAACAGCAGCCGCCACGTCTCTTAAGAAGAAGAAGGCGCAGAAGAAGGTCGAGAAGAGGTTCGACAAACAAACAGAGCGGCAGGGCACCCCCAGCGCTGTCAAATTCAAGACAAGGCTCCAGTAGATGGACCGGTGATCAAACACGCTGAGCAGGAGACGCAGCCTGCAGAGAAAACTAGCAATTCCCCCTATGGTGAATGGAGTCTCACAGTCTGGGGGTGTGTCGTCACACTTCCTGGATGCTCCATCGCCAGACCAGACACTGAAGAACCCCGGATTGGCTCAATTTCGAGCTTTGTAAGTCTCACAGATATTTCTGTGGAGTCTTCTGTGCCAAGTGGCGTTGCACGTTCTGCTGCATTGTTTGCTGTTTTGCTACAATTTTGAGGGAAAGCCACTGACCAAATCCTCAGGAGGATGGGTTTCACACACGCCCCTCTATCAGGCTGCCTGTCCCAGACCACATCAAGGGGATCTTGGTTGATGACTGGGAGAACGTGACCAGAAACAACCAGCTCGTCCCGCTGCCTCACCCGCATCCGGTCGATCAGATCATCAATGACTATCTCGAATACGAACGTCCGTCGCGCGACCCTGAGTCGCCGCACGTTGACATTCTCGAGGAGACCATGGCGGGTCTCAAGGAGTACTTTGAAAAGTCACTCAGTCGCATTCTCCTCTATCGGTATGTATCTCCATTGAAGGTGTAATTCGTTTGGCTCACGCTCGTCAAGCTTTGAGCGCCCCCAGTACCACGAGATCCGCAAGGAGTGGGAAAAGACTGGGGAGAATGGACCCAAGTCTGTCTGCGACACGTATGGCGCTGAGCATCTCTGCCGTCTCATCGTCTCCCTCCCTGAACTCGTGGCTCAGACTACAATGGATCAGCAGTCCGTAAGCCGTCTGCGGGAGGAGATCTCCAAATTCACCGTCTGGCTTGGCAAGAATGCCACCAAGTACTTTGTAAGCGAGTATGAGACGCCTGCGCAAGAGTATATTGACCGCGCTCGCAACATCTGAACAGATGACGCGCCTGCTTGGGTTGTTTCGACTGCGTTGGCTTTCGCCCAAGTCATTTGCGGTGTCATCCCGTCTGATACTTCAGACGCCACGCCGTGGAGCTGGGCATGGAGCCGAGGGGGTGCGAGAAAGTGGTGTCTTTTTGGTCTTGAGGTTGTTTTCCTTAGACATAGACACGGTAATTGTAAAGCGTTCACACATTATCTTTGCTCCCCGTGTTGCAATACTCGTCATGTCTCCATCTATTCCTAGCTCCCATGATTATGATACAGTCTTTCCCTAGCGTACATGTATGGTACACATGGCAGTCTGTCTGCCGTCCGTGTCGTCTCGCCCATGACTTTGATCCGCGCCCCCCGTTCTTTTTTTTTTCTCCTCGTCGGGCCGGTTGGCGGATTACCTCGGCGCCGCACGCTCAACCCAGAACCCCCTCGCCGGCGTCCTCTCGGCCTTGACCTCCTTCTTGCTCAGCGCCTGGTCGACCTCTTCGATGCGCACCAGCTCCTTGACCTTGAAGACCATGCCGGCAAAGTCGGGGGTGACGGGGTGGAAGACGGTCTGCATGCGCCGGCGGAGGCCCAGCGCGGCGAGCACGCCGCGGGTGCGCTTGGGCAGGCCGATGGCCGAGCGGTGGAGGGTGATGCGGAAGAAGGACATGTTTGCTGGACGAGCTTCTCGCTATGGATGGATCCGAGGCGGCGTGTGTAGAGACGTCTCGACCGTGTTGGTGTTTCGGGCGGATGGCGAGTTTCCTGTCTTTTGCTGGTTTCTGTTCGTCTCGTGGAGGTCTGTGGGGTGCCAAGTGGGTTTGGGAGGAGCGAGTCCGTTAGGCGTGTCGTCTGCCTATCTGGCAGCCAGTCTGTCTCTTGTTGCGCGGGCTGTGATTTGGCTGGTTGGCGATGCTTGGAGCTCAAAGTCGCGTGGTAGAGGCCCGGATCCAAAAAATGAACGTCGGAGCCAATTCGAGATGGCCTGTGCGTCGGTAAGGCCCCCACAATATAGCCCCTGGCTATTGATAAACGAATACTATCCGATAATATGATGGTCTGTGTATAGCGATTATATCCATCTAGAGGCCATACGTCACAAAGCGGGCCCTGCTGCCAGTTATGATTGCGGCATCAGCCCCGCTGAAGACGACATCGCTAAATTGGGCAGGTGACGGACCACAAGAAATGCCAAGACTCTATGTCCTGGCATCTACTTGTTAGCCCACCGTCATGGGATTCTGAGAAACGCGTTTACCGGCTTGTCAATGCCTTTGCCGTGTTGTGCTGACCATGCTAGGTCTTTTGGCCGCCCAATCTTACCCTCGGACCTCTCTCGCCCCGACCCTTGGAGCTCATTGCGGCCAGTTAGCTTGAGGAGGATCATCACCACCACCATGGTTGGTCGACTATCAGAAGCCACAGAGGCTTTACTCGGCCTACGATGTTGGCCTTTGGAGTGTCCGTAGGCTCCGTCAAGGCTGGAATGGCTGAGCTACTGCTTGAAGCCTGACTTGGAAGCGCCTGATCTGATCTTTCACAAAGCTGACCCTCAGCGTGGGGGTCGGAGGTCTTCTGGTCAAGTGACAGGGATCGATATACTTTGGGGAGTATCTAGTTGTCTCAGCCATACACAGGCTCATATGATATGAAAGATGGTCGGCCGGCCTGCCATGCCCCATCTTGACCGCCGGAGAGTCTTTCCTTTCCACCCAACATCGAACCCAGCAAGCTTGGTGAGCGATGGGCTCACTGGTGGTCGACAGCGCAGCACTGAGCCTGGGGACCAAACCCGGCTATGGAACGATATCGGCTGTCTCCAATACGTCTGTGCCGAAACGAGACCCATTTCGCCACGGCTTTCGGCCCAGCGGACTGCGGCCAGACCGCGCAAGTGTGGGGTTACTCTCCGTTAATGGGACCGAGCCTACTTTGATGACAACACGTCTACCTTCTACTTTGATACCCTTTCCTCGCGATCATGCATTTGTCGATAGGCCTGATATTTTTGACCAGATCGACGAGCGCTGCTCCAGCCCTGGTGGCCGAGCAGTTCTCGTCGGCATAAATGGCATCGGGTACGTCTATTAGTGCACCTACCACCGGTCCAGAGTTGACGAGGATGAACAGCAAGTCCCAGCTCGCTATCGAATATGCCTACAGGAAGAAGGAGTTAGCAGAAGCGAGCATCACAGGTGGCGGCTGGGTATCATGGATACTAGCCAATGATGAGCCAGCAGACGCCGCGACGTGCGTCTTCTGGATTCAAGCCAATACGCTTGCGACCATTACTGAGGGTTTCGTGGCCATTGCCGAAGCTGTTGGAATTCAGACCTACAATAAATCCGGCTCTGAAATCATACAGACTGTTTGTCGGTGGCTCGGAAATGAATACCTGCCCGCGAGGTGGCTGTTGGTCTTCGACGGTGCTGACAACAGTCATGTCTTCCTGATCGAAAAGATCGGAAACAGCAACACAACACTGGAGAGTATCCTGCCGACAAGCCCTCGCGGGTCAGTTCTGTTCACAACGTGTGACAGAAGCCTGGCTGTGAGATTAGCATCGCCGTCGCATGCCCTCATTGACGTCGGACCGATGAAGCTCCACCAAGCCATCCTTTTGCTGGAGAAGAAGATGGGCTCCTCCTATGGTCGACTGGGAACTAAAGCAGAACTCGTGGAAGAGCTCGACTTGATCCCTCTCACGATTACACAAGCAGCATTTCATATCCGGTCCCAAAGACACATGACACCAGACACATATCTTCAAGCATTACGAGAAGGCGATGCCGAGAGCGTGAAGATGATTAGCTCGGCAGGCGACGACGGTAGGCGGGGCCTCTTGAAGCCTTGTTCTGCGCTAGATACATGGCTGGCCAAGTTCTTGCAAGTCCGGGCTACCTACCCGTCCGCGGCGGACCTACTGTGTCTGCTGAGTTTCTACGATGGCCAAGACGTACAAGAGACCCTTGTCGACACACCCTTACACATCGAATCCTCGGAAGACAAAAGATCAACAGACGAAGCCTTCGGCCGGGATGCTCAACTGTCCATTCTGTACAACTATTGTCTCATTTCCCGCAGTCAATGGGGCGGCATCCAAATTCCCCGCATGGTCCAGCTGTCGGTAAAGACCTGGTTGAAAGAAAATGGGGAGTTCAATCTCGTCAATGCACGTTTCGTCACAAGATTCGACGCGGCCTTGAGGAGATGTCTGCAGAGTCCCGATGATGCCGATGAACTCCAAGACCGTCTGATCCCACATGCAGAAAAGGCTGTCGTGCAACCTCCACAAGGTGAGGAAGCACAGCTAACGTGGGCCTCCATGCTGCACCAGAGCGCTCTCTGTCAAGTGAAGCAGGGTCGTTTCTACGGAGCGGAACAGCACGCTGCTCTCAGCAGCCAACAATACATCGTGTCGCGAGGCATCTCGCATGACGAGACACGGGAGGCGCTCGAGACCCTCCGCGAAACACTGAAGCACCTGCAGCCACAGCCGGGCCTTCTCCCGCTCGCAATGGACGCGGCAACAAGCATCCTCGGCGGCAGACACGGAACGCAAGACCTGCAACAGTTCCACAGCACAACTGAGATTGCGACGGGACTCCTCGAACAAGGCCAGGCCAAAGAAGCGGCTGCCTTTTGCGAGGCCGAGAGGGCAATACTCAGGCACCGCCTCGGCAACGATCATCCGCTTACCCTAAGCGTTACCGCAAAGCTAGGCTCGATATTCCTAGCCATGGACAGGCTCGCCGAAGCCGAAGCCCTTCTCTCGCAAACGCTCGACGTATATCAGCAGACCCTCGGCGAGGACGACCAGAAAACGCTAGAATGCGCGGAAGAGCTAGCTACAGCACACGCAAGGCAGGGCAAGCTCCGCAAGGCCGAGCAGTCCTTCCTCCACGTCATCGAGACCCGCAAACGAGTGCTCGGAGAACAGCACGCGTCCAGCCTTGTCAGCATGCGCCGTATGGCCTCCGAGATTCTCTGGTCTGCCGGCCACGAGTCTGAGGCACGCGAGATGCTGACCCACGTCCTGGAGCTGCACGAGGAGGCGCTCGGCCCAGAGGACGACGACACAGCCACGTGCATGTACGACCTCGCCGGCATGCTCGGCGCGCACGGCCAGTATGCGAGGTCCGAGGCGCTGCTGCGCCGGGTCGTCGCCGTGCGGGCGAAGACGCGAGGGGCCGACCACCTGTTGACCTTGACGAGCATGTCGGATCTCGCCGGGATACTCGGGAAACAGGCCAGGTGGGAAGAGGCCGAAGAGATATTGCCACGAGTCATCAAAGGGAAAGAATCGCTGCTTGGGGACGAACACGGCGACGCGGTTGTTGACATGCAGGCCTTGGCCGAGGTGTACATGGCTCAAAGCCGATGGCAAGAGACCGAAGCTCTCTTGGTCAAAGTGGTTGATGGCCAGACAGAGATGTTCGGGGCCAATCACGAAGATACGGTCGTCAGTGAGGAGATGGTATATGAGGTAAGGCGCAAGCTGGGTACCCCGGAAGAAAGCGCAGACTGTCAGTCTGATGTTCGAGCTGGTTCAGGCGCCGAGCTCTATCAGAGCAGATGGTTCGAGGATGCATAAGCCAAACTTCCAATACATTCGCGTCACATGAGACCATCACACATACCAGGCGTCGTAAAATGTCATACTTTGTAGCGATCTAAGCTCCTCAACAGTACATACACGTAGCTTGTCATACAAAGCATCCTCTAGCACCGGCGCCCTCTTGGCCGGGCGAGGTATTCCATTGCTCCATTGCTCTATTATCAAATCCGCCCCACGCCTGTGCCCGGCTCTTGCCCGAGCCTTTCTTTTCCATTCATTACTTCCCTCACATCTGCACCTCGACACGGCCCTCGGCGCCAGGCGCGCCGCCACCGAGCTGGGGCAGGATGTAGGTGATATCGTCCCAGGGGTGACGGTACAGACCAGTGCGCAGCCTCTTCTGGTCGAGGTAGTGAGCAATAAGACCGATGGAACGGCCGAGGACGAAAAGACCGTTGAGCACACCCATCTTGAGGTAGTCCTCGGCCTCCTCGGCGGAGAAGGCACCGCAGTTGCGGACAAGATCCACGAAGCAGACAGCGATGCAGCCGTCGACGTTCAGAATCAGGTTGTCCTTCTTCGAGGTGGTGACGCTCTCGACGGCCAGGGCATAGTCGAGCAGCTTGGAGCTGGGGAACTTGGCCTTGACGTACTCCTTGACGAGCTCGACACGGAGATCGGGGTTGTTGCGGGACTTGACACGGTGGCCAATACCGGGGATGAGCTTGTTCTGCTTGCGCATGGTGTCGACGAACTCACGGGGGCTGAGGCCCTTGTCGAACGCCTTGGTGAACTCCTCGGCGGCACCGTCGAGGGCACCACCGAAGCGAGAACCAATGGTCAGGAGACCAGCGACCAGCGAGGAGATCAGGTCCTTGCCGGCACGAGTGGTGATGATAGTGTTCATGGCACCAGACACAGCGGGACCGTGATCGGCGGTAAGCATGAGAACCATCTCAAGGAACTTGGAGGCGTAGTCGGGAAGACGGCGGCGGAACCACAGCAGAGACATGACACCACCGATACCGATCTCCTCCTTGAACACGTCCGAGATGGGCATGCCAGCGTAAAGAAGCTCCTGGCCACGGTCGTCGGAGATGGTGGAGATGAAGGCAGCGGGCTTACGGATGAGGCCGAGCTCCTGAGCCCAAGAGTAGTCAATGGGGATCTTAGGAACAACGGGCTCAGGCTGGGGCTTGATGGTGCCGTCAGCGACGAGCTTGTCGTAGACCTGCTTGAGGACGTTGGGCATGTCCTCAAAGGTGTCAGGGACGTGGAAGCCGGCCTCCTTCATCTTCTCGTTCTTGGTCTTGGCAGTCTCGAGCGTTGAGTTGGCAAAGGCACCGGCGTGGCCGAACTGAACCTCAGTCTTGAACATGCTGGCGCAGGTACCAATGGCCCAGGCAACAATGGGCTTGGTGATGACACCCTCCTCGACGGCCTTGATGACCTTGTACTCTTCGACACCTCCAACCTCGCCGAGCAGGACGAGAACCTTGCACTCGGGGTCGGCCTGGTACCTGAGCAGATGGTCGATGAAGGTGGTTCCGGGGTACCTGTCACCGCCAATGGCGACACCCTCGTACACACCATCGGTGTTGTTGGAAATGATGTTGTTCAGCTCGTTGGACATGCCACCGGACTTGGACACGTAGCCGACGGAACCCTTGCGGTACAGCTTGGAGGCAACGATGTTGTCCATCATACCACCAGTGTTACCGATCTTGAAGCAGCCAGGCTTGATGCCACCGACGGTGGCAGGGCCAATGATGGTGATGCCCTTCTTGGCGGCCTTGTGGGCGATCTCACGGGCGCGCTAGATGATTGTGTCAGTCGAGTCAACCAATGCCCATGGCCTTCCTTAGCAGGCAAGACGCCGAGGACGAAGAAAGGGGGAGAACCTACGCGCTCAGGGACACCCTCGGCAATGATGGCAATGGTCTTGATCTGGGGGAACTCCATGAGTTCCATGGTAGAGCTGTAGACACTGCGAGACGAGGCGAAGTTGACGACCGTGTCAACGTCGGGGTGCTTGGCGATGGCCTTGGGGACCTCCTGGTAGACAGGCAGGAGAGTCTCGCTGGTACCCCAGTACATCTTGCTCACGAACTGACCACCAAAAGTGTAGATGATGCCGGCAACGGAGGGGGTCTTGCGCTTGCAAATGAAGTCGAAGTCAAGCATGCCCTGGACAGCGCGGGGCTGCAGGCCGTAGACGAAGCATCGAGTCTTGTCGTTGAAGAGGGCGTGTGAGGGGAGGGGGCTCAGAGGGCGGCTGGGCGCAGCGAAACGCTGAATCTTGTCGTTGGCGGAGAGGCCGCCGGGCTTGGTGGTGGAAGACATGATGGAGGTGTGGTCGGAGTTGAGCTCCCGGGTCGGTTTGGTGGGTATCTCAAGGTAAAATTCTGGCGAGGCAGAAGAGGTCAGCAGGGAGAAACCTGACAATTAACGCCCAGACGAAGGTATCGTGAACGGCGATGGAGAGGTTCGAGTATGGTAGACTCGACGACGATGGAGGACTGGGAGAAGGGGAAGAAGTTGCACGGAGCAAAGGTGTGGACAGCGGGTGGGATGAGGAGGAGTAAGAATTCAGGAGAGGAAGGGAAGGGGAATTTGGTGCAAGCTGAATTCGTTGGATCCCAGCCAGATTCGCAGCGAGGCTGTCCGGCGGCCGGTAGGTGCTGGGGGACCCGACGAGGGGGGGGCACTTCACCTGGGCACCACCAAAAAAATCGGTGGGTCCAAGCGGTACAGGGGTTCAAATCTGGCATGGGGGTTCGGTTGGGAAAGAAAGCTCTCCCGCGCAAGCAACAACGAAAGATGCCTTGCTTCGAGGGAAAGAGTTCTTTTTTTGTACCAAAGAGTTTTGGGTTCGACTTACAATAGGGGGTCTCTGACCGGGCAGCAAGACGTTTGTTGCTTGCAATGGCTGGTGATACGGAGAGGAAGCAGGGTCTCTGATGTTGATCGCGAGAGAGTGTGGAAGATTGGAGGCGGGGGGGAGGTGAGTGGTGTGAGAGGGAATCGAATGGAAAGAAAAAGGGGTGGTCGAAGAAGGCAGTTGATCTGGCGACCCCAAGGAAAGAAATTGTTCAAATGTTTGGCTGATGGTTGGCTGGTGGGCATTCGTTCGTTTGCGTGAGTGAGGTGGTACTTGGTAGGCAAAGGTAGCTAGCTCGGTCGTTCAGGCAAAGCAACTCGAGTCGATCCAAGGGGGGTGAAATCTGTTGGCCACACGCAGTGAAGGGTCAGCACTCAGCACTCAGCAGTAGGCGGTCAGAAAGTTGGGGAACAGCGATTGGCGATGGGGAGAGGGATGCGGTAGGGGAAGGGGAAGGCCTCGACGTTCAACAACACTTCAGTTGTTGACTGACTGCCACACAGACGAGACCTGGCCCGCCCCCAATCCAGTGCCACCACCTCACTCATGGCGCAGAGACAATGGCGCGTCGTGTCTCTGGTCTGGCTTTAGGGTGTGGTCCGAGACCGTGGCCCCAAGGTACCGGTACCTGGTCCCCACCTTGTTTCCCGTCAAGCCCGCTGCCGCTGCGCCTGCACCATCCGCGCCAGGATCCAGGGACCTCGTAATTTCTCTCGTCGAACACCCCTAGGAGAAAAAAACTTGCATTCCCCCAAAAGAATCCCCTCTGTGCGATATCGGGTACCTGAGTGAGGCGTGTTGCAGTCGAAGGAGAAGAGAGACGACGGAAGGATGAAAAGCCACACACACATGATGTGACCCTATCCTCCCCTCCCCTTCCCTGTGCTCCGTCCCTCGATGGATGATGGATGATGGATGATGGACTCGACGCATACGTGAGCCTGTCCATCCACACCTCCGACCCGAGAGTGACCGCCACTGATGCCCGGCCGAGGCTCCGAGCTGCGCTCCTTCTGTCGGTGGTCCCCATCCGAGTCCGCCGGCTACTGGCCTTCGGAGGAGGCAACGCACCACCTCGCACACCGCATCGAGGGGCTGTCCATGCTGGATGCACTTGGTGACGCAGGTTGTTCAATAAATTGTCCCACCGTCGGGTCGTCCGCGGGCTGCCGGGACTGGGGGTGCATTCTCCACCCATCCTTGCCCCTCGATAGGTGGGTCCCTCAAAGAGCTCTCGCGAGCATCAGCCCTCCAGAGCTTGACACACACACACACACACCTCGATGACTGTGTCTTTGCCTTTGCCCCTCCATGGGCGGGAGAGGCCACTTGCTTAGGGCTGAGCTACCAGGATACAGAACAACAGCTCGTCATGCCGGGGCAGGCCCAATGACAGCAGCACTGTGCCCAAAACTTCATTGACAGCAAGAATTGGACAGCAATGCTACAGCAACTAGCTGCGACACCGCTTTGAGGCAGAAAGGGAGGCATGGGTGAAGAGGTCCCAGTGGGTTGAGGTGAAGCTCCAACGGCGGGGCTGGAGGGGTAGGGGGTCTGCTGCAAGTTGGGGTCCACTCAAACCTCAACAACCGTTTGGGACCTGAAGTACCGGTACTTGTCTCCACCGGGAGGTCCCTCCCTGCACCTCTTGCACATCCCCCAAAGGCTTTCAGGTTTGGCGTGGTTAGCGCATGCCCCTGTACCTGTCCGTCCCGTCCTCTCAATCGCCCACCGACTGGACTGACTGACTGAGTGGTGGATGGCCTGCTGCCCACCACCCACCAGACCGTCAGCGCCTCTCAATCACCCCCTCACCCCCTCTACCCACCCAATTCAGGTCCCCCAGCGACCCGAATCCTGGACCAACACACTCAGCTGCTGTGTCGGGCGACCAAATTTTTGAAAGGCTGACGATCTTCTCCCTCCACCTCACACCTCACAGCTGCCATCATTCCACCTCCTGTGCATCCCAATCATCCAACTTGCCTCATCCTTCTTCTTCCTTCACCGCCTCGACTTTCCTGACCATCGCTTGATACCAGGAACACTGCCCGCACCACCATTGTAGCCGGTAAGTCGAACTCGTCCTCGCACTCAATTTCACCCCCTCAAGCCGACCACCTGTCCCAACTTTGGTTCAAGAGAGCCTCTCTTT